CTGGTGACTACAGAATAGAAGCGATCGGAGCAGCAGGAGGATACGATCAACTTGACGGAAGTGTTCAATACCGAGGAAGAGGGGCGATTATGGTTGGAACATTTCGCCTAAACAAGGGTGAAGTCATACAAGTAATTGTTGGTCAAGAAGGAGGAATAACCAAACGGAGGTGGTCTTCTGGAGGTGGTGGAGGAACATTTGTTGTGAGAGGAGCCAATACACCTTTGATCATAGCTGGAGGCGGGGGAGGCTTACAAAGTCTTAATTCAAGACATGGAGGATGTGACGCCAGCACACAAACAACAGGGAATACTGGATACAAATCATGGCCAGGGGGAAGCAATGGACATGGTGCACAGACTGCTGATAACAGGTCTCATACAGGTAAAATTATATTGTGATGTTTCCTTACTCTTCATGGCCTTAGCAGCAACTTAATCAAGTTGTACGTTTCTGTCTTCTATGCAAGATTAGTGCTCATAAGGTGGCAATATCGTTAGTAATCTAGTTTGTGATTGAGCATGAAAAGATAGGTCACAGTTTTCACCCAGTGTCCTTCTAGGCATCAAATACCTTTACATTCCTTAAAGTATCACTTCCTCTGATCTTTCAACATTTTAAAAACCCACAAGAAATTATGAAATTTCGCCTCAACCACAGAATTTAACATTGTTATACATTAAATTATCAGTTTATCAATTATAAGTTGGTATCTTGGGAGTCTTCGGACCAAATGTCATGGCAATCCTAGTAAAGTTTACATACCTTATTAATTCGTTCAAAGAAGGCACATTCACAAAAAAAAGGATTTAGGTTTTTTTGCCTTCCCGACAATTCACGCGTTTGGGTGACCACATGTCAAGTTATATCAACACCGCAAAAACCCAGAATTCCGACTGCCAATAGAAACTCTGAGGCGTCCTGTAGAGACTCTCAGCAAGAACATATTCTGCAGGTTACCACCATTAGTTACCTATGACAGACCTTTAGTTCAATTCAGCTGAATGGCAATTTCGATTTCAAATCTTTTTTTTTTTATAATTTTTAACTTAAAAGCGGCTTGGGCACGTCGCCGCAAAACTCAATGGTCGCTGACCAAGTGCGAGCAGCGAAGATTGCTTAAACCGCAAGCCTTTATGTGTTTCGCTACTCCGCTTTTAATTTCTTCTTATGCAGACAGAAAGACTTCTTTTTACTTTCATCTATGGAATATTTTCCTTTTCATCTATATCTATTCCCATTCTAGTTTTAAACGCAGACATATTGCAAAGATCTCAACGGAGATGTTTACGTGATCGAAATTCAAGGATCAAGAAGTTTTGCACTGAGAAACCCTTCGGGAGTCATTTATGTTTACATGTTATAATTGGCTATTTACAATTTGGCCGGCTAGCGAATTCAGTTCAAAAATATGCTTTTTTTAATAACTCGCGTGTGTTTTAATATTTTACGTAAATTTTTCTCCGAAACTTTATGTCAAATAACAATGTTTAGTTTTACATGGAAAAAAAATTCCGAAAATATTGGCCCTCGAAGGTCTACCGTATCCTTAGATCAATTTCCATGTATCATTATATTTTTTCCTCAGGTGGAGGTGGTGGCGGCTTTTGTTCAAGTGGAAGAAGTGGAGCGTATTTCAATGGAACCGTGGGGGAGGGTGGAGAGGGTGGTAAGGGATTTCTTCAGGGAGGGGTGGGTGGGAGAACCCGTTACAACGATACCACTGGTGGGTTTGGGGGAGGAGGTGGGGCTTGGGGATGGGCAGGGGGAGGAGGAGGAGGAGGAGGGTACTCTGGGGGAGGTAGTGGTAAAGACCTAGGTGGTTCCTGTGGCGGTGGAGGTGGGTCGTTTAATGCTGGAAACAACCAACATAATGATTGTTGTTACAACTCTGCAGGTCATGGTCAGGTGACGATAACGTTACAGTAGAGTAAACTAACCATTAGCTACCAAACTTCATAAAAAAAAATCAACAGACTGAGAGGGTGAATCAGGGCGTTGGACGTTTTGTTTCTTTAACGTGGACATTAGGTCGAGGTTGATCTTCAAAGGGAAGTGTTGAGAACAGACTTCTGCCTAAGAGACTATTTCATAATAACATCAGAACAACTAGCATATCTCAAAGCTTCATCTCGATCTCCTCATTTTCCTTCGATCGTGCATTTTAGTAACAGTATGTCATTATGTTGGTTGACCTTCTCTAATTTGGCTTGTTAACTCAGTTCGAAAAGCATTGCATCGGTATCGCAGAGGTCATGGGTTAAAATCCCACGCAGGCCTGAATTTCTCGGGCCTTACTTTCAGTACTGCTTAGGTCGTGTTCATTTCTATGAAAACTGCTTTAATTTTCTTAAAAGGATGTTTCTTTGACAACCATTTTGGGGATTTTAAAATGCCGAAGCCAGAAATGAACTAGATAGACTTAAGGTGTGTAAACTTTATCGACATTTAGAAAGCAAAGCTAGATATTCCTGAATATGAATAAACAACTGGTGCCAGAGGAATATATTATAGAGAGGCCATAATGTCGTTCTGTTACTCAGTTTTACCCATATCCAATATGTTATACTATAGAGAAGAAATTATGTCGTTCTGTTACTCAATTTTTACCCATATCCATTGTGTTATATCATAGAGAGGCAACGATGTTGTTCTGTTACTCAATTTTACCTATATTCATTATGTTATATAATAGAGGCAAAAATGTCGTTCTGTTACTCAATATTACCTATGTTCATTATGTTATATAATAGAGAGGCATCAGCGTCGTTCTGTTACTCAATTTTCACATATCCATTATATTATATTATAGAGAGGCAAGAATGTCGTTCTGTCGCTCAATTTTACCCATATCCACTATGTTGTATTATAGAGAGGCAACAGTGTTTTTCTGTCACTCAATTGTACCCATATCCACTATATTGTATTATAGAGAGGTAACAGTGTCGTTGTGTTACTCATTTTACCCATATCCACTATGTTATATTATAGAGAGGCAACAGTGTTGTTCTGTCACTCAATTTTACCCATATCCACTGTTATATTATAGAGAAGCAACAAT